AAAATTGTAATATTGAAGACATTGATATACAAGACATGGATTGCTTAATTACAAGAATTTTCATTTATTGAAATCAGGGGAGCAGATGTACTATTTTTCCTTAGTTCAAGTTTTGTCCCATTGGGTTTTCTTGACAAGGTTTTAACGAGACAAATATTTCGTAATGTGTCATTCAAGAGGAGTGTTGTAAATGGTAAGTTTATCAGCGATTGATAATTGTACCTTTATAGCCTTAGAAATTATTATCATTGTATCCCTAATAATTCCTTATAAATATGAGACGTTGGTTCTCAATAACTCTTTGGTTATCGTGGTTGGTCATCATCATCGTGGGGAAATATTAATGCACGTCTAGCTAAATGAAGAAAGAAGACAAGTGCAAGAACTTCAACAATGGTTGGTGCAATTTGAGCTTTTCCAAAATAACGATGGCGGCAATAATTCGAAGGAAGAACGTGTAAGTAAAGAAGAAGACGATCCTTTTTTACAATGAAAATCGAAATCATAGTGATGATTCTTATTTTTTTTTTGTGCTCGAAGAGTTAATAATTTTGATTGTGACCTCAACATTATAGTGGATATCCCAAAGTTCACAGGAAGAATGTACCCTGATGAATTTCTTGTTTGGATTCATATTGTCGAAAAAAAAATGTGTTATAAAGATGTGCCTGATCTTTCCAAAGTAAAATTAATTACTTTCTGTTGACATACAAAAATGAGGCCCAATTAAATGGTCCAAAGAATGAAGCACAGTTAGGAAATTCGAAGGATGGGCCCAAACGAGACCATGTAAAAACCCAAAACGGAGTTATGTAACGGAGGCCCATCATCGCTCAAACTTTCGAGATGCCCAAGATCTTATCGAGCCCATCATCATTCAAGCCTGCGAGACGCCCAAGATCTGGGCGAGTATAGTGTCTTGATTGTTATTTAAAGCAACTGTTATTGAAACAGTTAATGGGTAATCTTATCACATTCCACGATCCAAGAATCTCGATTGCAAGCAGTTAAATGATAGGAGTAATGACAGCAATTGAAAATGGTAGTTTCTTGACAAGTTATCCATTATAGAGAAAGTGAGTAGTTACAAGGCGATGAGCAGTTTTCAAACGGTTCTACAAGGAAAAACCTGTCAAAGGAGTATAAAAGAGAAAATAGAACATAGAAGAGGCACGAATCAAATGATTCTCAAACAGAGAATTATGTAATTTCATTTCTCTCTTCTTGTTAACTTTTAATTACTTTGCAAATTCAGTGTGCTTGTGCCCCTTGGAGGCATTTCACTTCTTAAGATGGTTGATGTTTCTATCAGGACATGATCTACACGGTCCAGATAAAATGTAGGTGACACAGGAGTGTCA